GGTGCCCAGGTCATTGTTTATCAACTGCAGTGAAATGAACTGAAACAATCGGGTAATCTTCAAGTATGCCGTCATTTAATAAAGAGAAATTCCAGATGAAACTTGGCTCATTTAACAGGAAGGCAAAATACGAAAAGCGAGATACTACTCTTTTACCAAGTCGTTATTATTCCTAATGTGAAAGGCCTAGTTGAAAGTTGTGCCTTTTTTCCTACGGTGGTTCGTTGGAAGCTTGTTTTCAGTATACTGGCGTGCCCACCATAACTGTATTTTAACATTACCTTTGATCCAAATACGGGCACATCGAAAACTTATTACTCTGGTGTGCGGAAGTTGTGCATCACGTGTACGTTCGTCCGACAAAGCTATGTCCAATTTTTATCACAGTAGACCCTATACGTAACGGTTACTTCAGTGCTATGCCTAAACATTGGTGAGTGCAGAGCCCACAGGCATTCAAATTTCAAGGAAACATTTGATCTCAAACACAGGCTAGGGTGTATCGATCGTTCATATGTGGTAGTCTGCGCTTCGTTGCGGAGAAACATGCAGCACCGCAGAATTTGTGACAGAGAGAGCCGCGATTGTGTGTGTCGGTGCATCGTGTGAGATCCGATTGGATATGCGGACTGCCGTTAGAATTCCTCGGGGTTTTCTCAGGGCGCGCAATGTGCGGCAATTTACGGTGCGTCCATCACAATCGGTAGACATTTCCCGGGTGCATTTTGTAACCCGGCGATGTCTAGGATTACCCTAGTGCTGGAGTTTTGGTGATCGGTGAATCGTGTGTATTTGCTGGGCTTAGCTGCAACAGCTAAAGTTACACCTACGAAATTCTAATGTTTTACGTGTTGTTTTGTGTTTACGATATTTGACATCGACCTGGAACTGTGGCGCTGGTTAGTGATCGTATTCTCTCTACGGCCTGGGTTCAACCACCCAGCTTGTCTGCCTACATCCGTTGGTGGTCGTATAATTACAGCTTTGCCTACATTTATTTCTGGTCCAGTGCGGATAAATGAAGGTCTCTTCTTGCTGCCTTTGGCAGCAACCACCTTCCGATACCCAGTAATGTCGACGTTTTTCTGAAAGTTCGGAAAATTTTAGAGGGCGGGCGAGGCCCAGCTGTATTATTTCTAGTCTGACTGACAGTGGTTTCCGTGGGCATATTCTGACCGCAGGTGGAATTGACATTCGAAGCCACAGGTGAGGGACTTTATTGCGCTGTCAAAACTACCTTCACATTTTTGAAGTCGAACCTAATAGGGAGGACTGGGATTTACTCATTGTCACGCTTCTTCAAATGAATCAGTTTCAGTGTTCATCGTTTGTTCAATCGATTCCACGTATATTTCGTGTTTCTGTGAACAATGGAACAATGGTTTATTACGGGTAAAAAAGCATCGCTTAACAAGTCCCGAAGGATGTTTGTGAGTAACGTAAGTTTCGTAGAACGCAGAAGTCACGATTAAACTCCACACGAAAATCTGTCTCGACGGGGAATCGAACCCGGTTCACGAATTTCCGGTCCGCTGCTCTACCACTGAGCTACCGAGGGCTGACGATTAGGTGCGGAATTTAACACGTGACTTCTGCTTGGTGCGCGACGTATTGCCAATGAGCTCACAGTAACTGTCCTGGTGTTGCAGATCGGCTCACTCACTCGTCACTTCTCAGTGGACCGAAGTAACTGTCCATCCGAAGTCCAAAGGGCGATGATAGATTATTTGAAGGATGTTTGTGAGTAACGTAAGTTTCGTGGTGAGTGGTGACATTTCCGTTACGATGCTTACCAGGGAAATAAGCGTTCATACTGCACGGAACGACACAATCTGGTCTGTGATTGTGTAGGTTCAAATGATTTACCCTGTACCTGGAACATCTAACATGAAAATCGCGGATTCAATTTCAACACTGAATTCATGCTTGTACAGTGACCAGGTGTGACGGGAAGCCACATACTATTTTCATTCTGGTAGAATGAGCTTCTGTTGTGCAGTCGTTACAAAGAATTGCGTCGATCGACGCCTTTCAGGTCAATAGCACAACGCGCGTGGATTCCTGTCTGCACTATGCGCGCTGAGTTGACTGGGTTTTCAAGGTCAACCCGTCTGTTGCACGTCCGGTGCATCACAGGGCTCGCACTGCAGTTTCAAGCGGCCGGATCGTTCACTCGATTATCGCTCTGAGCTGTAAACCAAGCGGCTAAGCGCTAAGCGACACGAAAGATCCGGAAGCTACTTCAATTGGCGGTCGAGAGCTGTGGTTGGTGGCTCACCGTACCTATATCAGTGTTGGCTTTCATTTGTGGTCATAATTGTTGCTGTCTCTCTTGGGATTCGGAACATGGCACACATGTGTTTCTGAGAGAAGGGTGTAGAAATTGTGTTTCAGAGGTTAAAGGTGATCTGCACAAGCCAGGTCCGAAAGGCAGAGTGCACTAAATAGTGCTGGTTAAGCCGGAGCGAATGCGTGTACGCACACTTGTGTGTGAGTGGAATTGTGCCCATAAATCCGATCTGTGTACGGGGCCAGTGAGAATGCGACCTCACGCCGGTAAGTGTGTACCGTGTGCGCATCTGCAAACGCAGCCAAAGTGGAAGCATTAAGGACCTAATGAAGACGAACATACATTACAGAACACTTTCCGCACAGCTTCCTTATTGGCTATGTTGCGCGGTTAATTTCAACTGTTTGACATCATGTTTGTTGTTGTGGCTATTCCAAGAAATGGCAACAAACGTGACTGGGACTCTTCAACAAAATGCAAGACACTGTGTCACCACAAAAACACCCTTACTTCTCAGCGTACCTTCTTATAATTTCCATGGTGTTGTTGTGGAAAATGAAACAATCCCATAATGATTTTACTTAATATCACTGCAGGGTATCGAGTGCAGCTGGCTGGTGTTTCTGCCATGGTCACCAGGCCTAGCTTGAAGATTTACCATTCTGATCACGGACTGCAGCTGCATTACAGACACGCTTTAATTATGGTAGAAGGCGAGGCTGAGTGGGAAAATACGGGCACAAGGCAAACAACGCAGACTTGTTAAATCAAATCAAGTCAGTATAAGCTTCCTGTACCCAAAAGGGTGCATTTCCAGCATTTTACGTTATCAACTGTAAATTTGCCAGAGGGTTACCATTAAAATGCAAAGTTTAGCAATGCATATAAAAAGGAGGATGCACTGTCACAGATCGATCAAGTAACGATTCAAAAAAGTTGAAGTAAACCTTCGGGCATTTTATCCGTTGAAAACGGAAGAGGTGTCGTAACAATGTTCCTTTAGGATTCGTTTCAACTGACGTAGCATTTTGTGTCCAGAAACAATATATCGGGGATCGTGCGCGATATATTGTGTGCGTATTCGGAGCGTCGGATCCGCCACTTGCGAGCAATGATCTTTCGATAGTGTGATTTCGGTACACACGGTTGGATGTGGTTGGATATAAATTTGGGGCCATCGAACGCCTGGATGTTTGTTATTAATTTAGGGTGTTG